ATCCAACATAGAAAACTAGACCACTCATGCCCAAAGGTAGATAAGTGGAAGCACGCACCTGGTATGAAAAGGTCACTGCCCACACAACTGTGAGTTTGCAAACAAAAGATAGCACAAGTTCCACAGCTTTCACGTCATCAAATCGGTATCAGAGCTGTGGCAAACATCTCAAATGAATTCAAGCAGCTCTGTTGTGCTTCTCAAGTGAAAAAAAAAAAATAATAGAAAGTACGAACACTGGCTGGAATAGTCAGCCAGGAGGAAAACAAACACACAAACGAAGAGGTATCCAGCCACAGAAACCCAGTCCCTTGCCAATACGCAGAGCCTCCCTGTTCTCAGACATAGCCAGAAGGCGCCTCTGGGCCCCAAGGCGCGTGTTTGTGCCAGTCAAGGCCCCTAGGAAGCAGAAATCTCACTGGTGCCATGAACGTAGGCACCCGGCAAGTGCCTCAGGCCCACGGAGCTGCGTGGGCAAGGTGTTTCTGTGAGGTTGTACCCGACAGCCTCAAAGCACGCGCTGAACCTTCCCCACCCGAACTAGGCAGAAAGGGCAGCGTCCCTGGGGTTTTTCGCTTTTAAATACCCAACAGCATGAAAGCAAGAGTGCTTCTCTGGGATGGGGGAGATCCAAATCGTTTCTTCCATAGCCTCGTCTCAGCTGAATCTATTTCAGCACTATTTATGTACTTGGTGTTCCAGGACCTTCCTCTTCTCAGGCGAGTGTCATGGTTATCGAACAAGAAAGTCCCATAGGCTAGCTAATTCGATTATTTTACAGTGGCAGGGGTTCTACAGGAAAGACTGGAGTTGTTGGGCTGCTCAAGTAGGTCACAGAACTGTATGTTCAAAGGACAGCATAGAGGAGGGATAGATCTCTCATATCCTCCATACGCAAGGCGTTAGCCCCTCTGCTGTGTTTTTGGAAGAAAGACCTGGTTTAGATGTCTGCACCAGGGAATGGCTGGCGTTGCTTTTCCCAGCTAACAGGCCAGGATAGTTCTAAGTGAAGTGATGAACAGATTAAATGAACTTGTCCTGAGCACCACTTTGGAGGGATACAAGCACACCCTGCCTCTCCTGCCCCTGAAGCGTACTCGCTCCGTGGTTCCGGGAAGGAAGGCGGTCATGTTGGTTAAATCAGGTTCTGCATCAAAGCATGTCTCCTGTCACCCTAGACTGGCAGAGGTCTCAAGACAGTAACTGAAATGAAAGAGGAGTGTCAAATTCATCTGATGGTACCTAACAAACGGGAACTTCGGAAACATTACGTGCTCACATTATGGTTTCTAATGACAGCTGCAGCATCATCGCTGTTGGTTGGACGACTCATTTCCTAGTGCAAGCTTTCTCGATCGTAAGAAGAAAGGAAGTATTTCTAAGCGCTGAAAATATTTGAGCAATATGACCTCTCTCAGTAGAGCTACTTCTATCTCAGTGTTTCTAAGATGATAAAATGCGGAGAATTTCATTACCGTGGCATGTAATAAATTTGTGTCCCCTCAAATTGCATTTATCGGCAGGGGGCCTGACCAAAGCTAATGTTAATGTTCTTTTCAACCACTATTCGTAATTCTGAAGCAAATTTTAATATGATATGCTTTAGTGGAGGCATGACGAACAATCACGTTGGCAAATGAGAACACCGCTTTGTTTGCTGTTGTTAGTCTGGTTGGTTTTGCGCCATCGCTTCTGGGCTCCTCTGTACCAAATACAGCCCTTTTCCCACATCCACTTGTGAGTCGCGACAGCAGCAGCTTGCTCCTTCCATGGCGGCCCAGAAGCTGGCACACAGGTTACCGCGTGTGAGGGACTGCCCTTGCCGGAGAACAGCCAACTGCCAACAACCGTGGTCAGCTGCTCCCTGCAGAGCTGCTCCTCGGACCTCGGGCTCAGCCGCGCACGCACATTCTAGCCCTGGAAGTCACCTTCCAGTGTCAAATCCACTGAGCTGGGGAATCGCAACTATTTCTTGGTGGCATGAAATTCCACACTTCTTAAATTTGGGCAACACTCTGCGTTGTCGTATCCATAAATAAGGATTACAAATGCTAAGTCTTCCCCCTCAATTCTTCAGTTTTCTGGAAGTCCTGGAGGTCAGAGAATTAAAATATTCTTCTCAGCTCCACTGTGTCAGAGATTAAAACTTCATTTTTAACAGCGGCTATGGACAGAGCCAGTTATTACGACTCCTTTCATCTTTATTGTTTAAAAACAGAATTCAAGTTAAGACATTAGGAAGAAATTAAGGAAGTACATATTTTTTAAAACCATTATTTGCTCTGGTTAATCATCTAGCTGAATGGCCCATCAGAAGTTCACAAAACTGTTCTCTCAAACTGAGGACAGACTTCAAACATAAATTAACTATGCCTATGTTTTTCGAAGACACAGGAGACTGTTTACCTTGATAAATTAGCTTGACTATTCGGTAAGGTTGGGATAATTCCCTCTTCTCCCTCACAGGCATGGCACTTTCATTGCCAAAAGTCAGGATGATTTCTTGCCTTGTTCACACAACAGCCCACGTACATCAACGGTCGCGCAGGCTACAGTTAGCAAAGTCACTCCTATCTTCTTCACACAGCTCTCTGAAAGCTTTCTTTCAAGTGCTGAAGAAACGTACAGCTGTACACACTAAGCTCTACGAAACTTGTGACCGCACGGTTTGCAGATCTATGAGATTCCCGCAACGAAAAAAGCACCAACTCCTAAACAAGCAACAACCACGAGGGACCTCCTCAGCAATACACACTCACAGGCTTGTCCGTCACCTTTACTCTTCCAACAGACGTTATGCAAGGATTACGAACGGAGCAGTGAGTGATGGGGTGTTTACTCCTGCCGTCTGCTCCTAATAACTAACACAGCGGCCTGCACCGGTTTGGATTTGAACGTACAAGCTCCCCGCGCCGTGACTAAACTCACTGCCTTTAGCTCCTCGCCTCTAGAGAGCGCCGAGGAGGAGAGCAACTGAGCTACAGCAGCTGAGCTGGTTGAACAGTTTCATAGCTCCTCGCCTATTTATCTGCAGCTGAAACCACGATCTGCAGATTCAGGTACAAAGTGGAAGTAACGTTACAGCTCGAGGTACAAAATGGCAGTGTTGAGTTATAAACTCAGAGATTCACATTTTTACACTGCAAAAGCATCTACGTCCATGACGCTCAGTGTAACCTGGCTTTAGTCACGTTTCCCTGACGTTGAGCCCAACGCCGAGAGCTTCCAGTGCCAACAGCTCGTACGCTCTGGTGAGCGAGGGCAGGGAGAAGCAGACAACTAGAAACTTAGCTTAGGTCTTCTGAGAGTGCAACTGGGGGAGTGTCGCTTGGTTTGTATGAAAAAACCTGTCCATCTGTTAATACCGTACCACCCTCTCAGCTGGAAGTTCTCTTTGTGGTATCAACGCACCTAGAGATCTTTCACTACAGCATCACAGGCGCCTTATACATTGATAGTCAAATGTTTCACGCTGTAGAAGGGAATTTTATTTCCGTTTTTGCCCACTGAGTTTTCTCCAACTTGCCAAAACGTTCATTATTTGTTTCAGTAGTCTCTGAATGTTCTGTATTTCAGTGCCACCTCAACAGCACTAATTCATGCAGGACTGCAGCGTGGTGTCACACATTTCAGCAGTAGCAGCCACTCGCTTAGGGTTATTACATCAACCAGAAGCCAATGGCCGTCAGCCAGCGTACGTGGGCAGGAATAAACGGATGCACCAAACCGCCAAGGACCACTGCTTGAATTCTGACAGCTTTATAAATATAAAGAGCTGAACCCAAGGGTCACAGAAACCAGGAGTGGGGAAAAAGCATCTCACGATATGGAAAGGGCTCCCACTGTATCAGGTCTTTCTTCCAAAACGGGCAAAGTAAACATCTACCTTTAGTTTTTCTCTCTATTTGCTTGGTTAATAAACATCTGTGAGGCAAGTGCCTAGAATGCCCTCATAAGAGCAAAGCTTGTTTTCTCCCTTTAAAAACCTCACTAACTTGTTTTAGAACAAAAATCTTTTAAAAAAAAAAAAAAAAAGGAAAATGTTAAGCTGTTCTGTCACAACTTTACTTTTTGATAAAAATCAAGCCACACATTTCTGCTATTTTTTCAAAAGTCTTCAGCAACTTTGAAATGTTTTAAAGTTTGCAAAAGTAAAAAAAAAAAAAAAAGCTTAAAAAAAGACACTTACCAAAGCTCGAGGTAGCTCTGCTTTCCATGTCCCAGCCTTGTCAAGTTTGTTGGTTCTTGATTTTAACTTCATCTGTATTTACCAGAACAGAAATCAATCTTAGATGCTCTCCACGCCAAAGATAATACCTGAAGACAACTGCCAGTGTTTACAGCTAGAGAAACGATTGTACCTCCTCAGTACCCGGTGCAGTACCTTCCTCTCTGGCGTTTTGTCACCCTTGTATTTAGTTCTGCAAATATGTAACCATTGTCTTTTCATCCCTCTGCTTCAAGAAATGTGAGGTATGCTACCCTGTGGCTGCACTAAGCAAAACAAGATACTGTAAAGAAAAATATTCAGCACTGCCTACAGCACATGACAGGGTACACACTGTGGAGAAGCCGTAGCTCAGCGTTTCTGAGCTTGGTCCTTACGCACACAGAGAAACTGTAACAGATCCTGAAAAGAAATGTACGTATTTTATTGGGAGCTGGGGCAGTGGATGGAAGAGCACTTACAAATTTTAAGATAACATAAATGCGTAATATTTTCCTTTCCCTAACCCCCCCCAATCTGGGAAAACTCCATACGCTATCACTTCTGCAAGTCCTTTACTTCTGTACACAGTAACCCAAGTCTCAAAATTACCAGATACATCTAATGCTTCAAAACCTTAGAGATTCTTATTAATCCCATTAAAATACCTCTGTTAGGAAACCAATAATTTTAATAGGAAAGGTGCATTCAATACTGTAAAACATTTGCAATGTACAGTTTTTACAGCAAGTCATATGCCACTGTAGATCTACAAAGAGGCGCTTTTTTTAATACACTTGGTTCTTTACCATCTCATGATCCTCTTTAAATAAATACTTAACAAAAGCGTCTCACTCTGGACAACAGAAGTAACATCACAGGTAAAGAGAGTGTCAACCCCGTGGCAGAAATGCTACAACAAAGCCCCTTTCACCCGCCAGTCTTGAGACAGCAGATCCTGCAATTCTTCTTCATCTTCGCTACCAACAGCCTCATCCTCTTTCTCTTGTGCTGCTTTTAACCTCATGGCTTCCTTTAACTTCTCCTTCATCAGATCCTGGCGGTTACGCAAAAGCTCAACGCGGCGATAACATTCACTGTTGAAAAGCAAACCACCTATTAACACTTGTGGCCTGTCCACATTAACTGGATTTTCTACAGGGCTGGATTTCGCTTCTCCAAATTTGGATAAAAAAAAAAAAGCTCCGTAGCTTCCCAAAAGCTTTTAGAAAAAAAAAGCTTTCAATATGCTCGTGCACCCTCTCTGTGGTAGCCAAGTGGAAAGAGGGCAGAGGAGAGGCGCGTGCCCTTCTCTCGCGATGAGATCTAACGCAAATATTTAACGTCAGCAATACCACCACAAATCTTTTTTTTTTTAAGAAAAGCACAGCACCAATATCCACTTCTCCACAAGGAGAGACGCCATTCTCTGCTTCACTGAAGGTTTCACATGTAGTAGAAAGGCGAGACATCAATTGGCTATCAGTTTTGGTAACTTAGTGGTGGCATCTCTGCAAATGAAACAGCTGCACGAGCGTTCAGGTTCTTTCTCTGCTCACTGTGTGCTGTAACCGAACATTTTAATTGAACACTATCCACAAGTTTCAGTTTCCCATTGACTTAAAAGGTTCTCTCCTTGAAATATGTTTTATAACAATTAATCTAGCCATTTTAACAGGGTATTTTGTTGAAAATGCCAAGCCAGGTCAGCCTGATTTAAATACATCTTTGATGCTTTCATTCCTATTCACTAGGAGGAGCCAACAAGGAAAGATTTAATATCTGGGTCCTGTTTTTGCCTATCTGCAATACGATTACGTACAGGCAGTCACAGCTGAAGATTTTAAGGCCGAGGAAAACACGAATGTCACTGGAATGAATCTGATTTTTAATTTAGTTTGAAATAGCTTGCATTTAAATATCCTCAGAAGACAAAGCTACAAAAACATTCCTTAAAAAAAAATAATTCTATTTGGAACTTTTATTTTGGGGAAAAATAATTACGGTAACAAATCTGAAATCTCTAGAAATTTCTGAATTTGGTTCTACGTACTACAGCATCCTAAGCTACTGGGAAAAATGACTGCTCAAAGACAGCCAGGTTTAGCTCAAGCCCTCTCCAAAATGAATGACCACTGTTAAAAGGCACTCCTGTACGGCCCAAGCTCGGTTTGAACGCAATGCTGGGGTTACTATACGCTGATTATCTGCAGCGTGTAAATCTGTCCAGGCGGCCTAAGTGTTGCTTTAGTTTTTAGCGTCTTCTTTTTGTCCCGAGGTTCGTTCAAATCTGAATTCACCTTTTCCTTTTCAGTCGCTACCATTGCCATAATCACTGTTAATCAACGTGTTAAGCTACATGATGATGGCAATCGTCTGTTCCACTCAGCTGTCTTTCAGGTTACTCAGAGTTTAAACTGACTCTTATCCAACCGCTACACCTACCATTTCAACAAAACGAAACACCTCACTTCATGCAATGAACTGCATTGTTCAACAAAACTATTAAGTAAACTTTTGTTAGAAAGAAGGAGAGTTAGTCACAGACCAAGGCATTTCCAGTACAACAAAAGGACGGTCGACACACAAATCTTGTTACTGACATTTTAATTGCAGTGCAGAATATCAGACCTTGTTTTTTTAAAAATGTTCACATAAATTCTGCATCAATCCGAATTCACAAAGAAACACAAATCAAGACCCTTGACAGGGGGAAGGGGGACAGTTTGTTCAAAGAATTTGTCTTCTATTGCTTTATTTTGCCCATGCCTGCTTGCTGTACTTTCAGTGATTCTAGTGCATTCTCTCTTTGCAAATAATTACATAACTTTGCACCAAAATTCATGTTTTTATTAGGTATCATTCTGCAATTTGAGGGAGTGTGTCTTTGTCCTTCAAATGTTCAGGGGATTAATGCAAGGTAGTATCACAGCAGATTAAAATTAAAAATGTTTTTATCACTCTAGTCAAATTGCAATCCATTATGCTGGAGAATAGAAAGTTTGAGGAAAATCTGAACTACTTACATCTGCTCATCGATCTCTCCAATCTGACGATCTAGTCGCCCCTCCTCATCCTCTTCTGCCACTATTGCTTCTGAAATCTAAACCAGAACAGCGCTAAGAAAACTCACCTTCATCCTGAATTCCACTGTTGTTCCTTTTTGATGTTTGTGTCTTCCCTCCCTCCCCTCTCCCTCAAGTCAGTGTCAATCTCCTATACATATACTCCCACCTTCACAAAAGACTCTGGAGGCAAATACAGAATAAAAAAAAAAAAACTGATCTGGTTTAATTTGAAATGGAAATGTTTTTTTTCCTTAAAAGTCTGGCTGCTTTGGGGTTAACCTTTTGAATTTTTCAATGCACTACTATTTGAGCATAAACAAACTACGGGCATCCAAAGTCTGAGGCTGAAACAGGAGCCACATCCCAGTGCTTGGGAGTTGATTACACGCTTATTGAAAGTATTGGTTAAATATTCCCACTAGATCCCGAAGTGTTTCTAACCTGTTATTTTTTTCAGCATATACTTTCTCAAATCTGAATGTCTGGGAGATGCTATGCAATCAATGGTCCACGCATAACTGAGAAGATTCCTTCTAAGCTGAAGAATTATCTGAATGGCTAATGCTAGCAAAATGTATCCACCACTGCTTTTGTATGAACATTCGCTCTGTTTATAGTGCTGACCGCTTTAAAATGAGCAATGCGGAATTTGTTTGCGCCACTTTTCTTAGCAGTTGACGTATGAGCAATTATGTACGATTAAAATTAAAAACCTAGCGAATACTCTAGGGGAAGATGAAGAACACCAGGTATCTTTAGTGACAGTTTTATATTGTACAAAAAGGCAGACAAAAACCCGTTCCAGGAAGACTTTCCATGCAATGCTAAACAGTAAAAAATGGAAGTACAGAAAAATCATGGCCAACTTACATGTCTCGCACACAAAAATCTTTTGTCACTTTCCCAAACGTTGGGGTTCCTTTCCAGTCCATTTAAATTAGCCATAAACCCCAGGTGACCTACACTTTATGGATCCTTTTTGAAAAAGACAATCGGGTGACGTTTTGTTCTGTGGTTTTCAAGGTTAAAATATGACTAGAGCTCATCTAAAGAGGTGCCCACTATTATGTCCTGTTGGGATACAGGATGCTGATCTGAGGTACATGCTCTCTTATTTAAATACAATTTAACAAATCTAACTAGATAGATACTGATAACTGGATCCTGCTCAGCAGTTTTTTCAGCTTAATTTCCCTTAAGTGGAAAAGAGAAGGAACCCTTTGCTCATTTATAAAGTGCATTTAACCACACACTGCATTGCAACAAACAGCTGACAAATGCAGATGTCAGTCATTCTGCAGAGCTGCATGAAACTGTTGTTTTCCTTATTGTGTATAGTATTTAGAATCAATAAAAATAGATTCCATTACTTACTGTGTTGACCTGTCGCATTGCCTTTTGAAATTCATCCCATTCTTTGTCCATCTGATCCTTGGGAGCATCAACTTTTCGCACCTAAGGAACATGAAAAAAAAAAAAAACAGGCTTATTAAAAATTTATGTCTAGTGACTCTTTGGGGCACTGTACAGCCTCTGGAGAAGCAGCACAAGCCATGCTTGTTCCCAGGAAAGGCTGGTCGACACGCTTCAGTTTAAGTAACGCCTATGAGTAAGAGAGCGCAGCTGCACAATGGTGTGGAGGAAAAACCTGACTCCAACCCTGGACTGAAACAACGTCCTTGACTGCAGCGTTAAAGAATAATTGACTAAGAATGGATGGTGTGGAAGGGTTGGAGTAACAAAAGGGACCAAGTCTGTTAATTTGATGGTCTGTAATTTCATTATGGCAGGTGAGAACTAAATTCTCCTGTAAGCTGCCTGCTCAATCGTGTACAGTGGCCATCTCACAAGCCAAAGAGCAGCGAGTTATTTGCCTTTGGCATAACACAAAGTATCAAATGATTCGGTCACTAGCCTGACTGGTGTTAGGTAGTCTGACTATATTTCAAACCTAGTCTAATTTTGTTGGCTAACAGAAGAAATAGTATAGCTACGTACCAATCTGAACGACATGCAAAGCTTTTTCTTCTGTGGTAGACAGCATTAATTACTGAGACGAGAAGACTGAAAAAGTAGTAGCTGTAAGAATGTGTTTGAGATCTACAACTAAGGTAATCGAAACCGGATTGTGCTTTTAATACAAGCAAAACAAACAAGATCATCCACCTGTGTAACCAAAACTTCCACCATTCAAGACTGGAAGATGTGGCATATAACATACGTTAGATGACAGATTCTGCCTGGCTCTGGACTGGGTGGAAACTATATAGCTAGGAGAACTAAGCAGTTTGAACAGAATAATTCGTGACACCATCTTTTTGCATTAGCATTGTTTTTGTTTTATTCGTTCCTCTCTCTTGGTAACACACATCAGTCATCATCACGGTAGAGACAACGGTTTGGTATATTTTGTTCCTGAACGACGATACAAAATCCAGTAGTATGAATTAAGTTTGTAGAATACACTAGAAGCTTCCAAGCAAACTGCATACTGGGAAGGAATAGTCACCATTTCATTTTTCTGTTCTGTGATTCTTTCTATCATATGTGTATGTACTGTGTTATTACGCATTGTGGTTGTCTTTTGTAATTCATAATTATTTGTATTTCTTACAATAAATTTAAACACTAAAGACATTATTTTTCCTTGAAATATTTATCTAACCTAGAATTTAACTACTTTATAAACTCCTGATGGAAAGAGCCAACGTTTTTCAAGCCCCCAATCTCCCTTCCAAATGCTCACTGTTAATTCAGAAAAGAATTATTTTGTGTACGAGTCCAACACAGAATCACTGCAACCCTCCCACAACATAAGCGATGTCACCAACATTTTCCTTCCCCTGCATATTAGCTAAACTTAGAAAGGTCTGATTAAAAAGGAGACCACCTGAAAACAGTTCAAGGAAGAGCTTACTGGAACATGTATCCACTTGTAAATGTTATCAGCTGAGGCGATAACCAGAACAAAGATCACTGACCAGCGTCCGCACAGATAGAAGCTCCACAGTGTGAACAATAGGGAAGTGTACTTAAGGAAAATAAAAGAGGCTTTGAGCCTACAACACTATTATTTCAATAGAGCAAGCAGGAAAGCCATCAAATTTGTGGCAAATTTTACAAAACAAACTAACAAAAAAGGTTCGTATTCCAAATATTGGTGTTTATTTTGGTCATCATTTGGAACTGCGCACGCTGAAGGAAGTATGAATGATTTTGATCAAAAATTCAAAATTTTTAGTTGTGGTCTTTTTTTGAGAAGCACATTGAATGCCCACATTTCTCTTTGGAGCATCAAAAAAACCCCATCAAAAATGAGGGCTGAAAACCAAGTTCACTGTTGCAGTATGTCAGTACTAGAGATTACAGCGTGTGCCATAATCGAGCTATTTTAATTCTAACAGGATGTACAGTATCAGTCACACAGTAACTCTTAACACTTTTCAACAGGCTCTCTCAAAGTACATTAGAGAACTATTTTTACATCCTTACTTCCAAAGCAGAATTGGATGTACAAGTTAGGTGAAATGCTTTTCCAGGGATGACTCAAAGAAATAAAAGTAACGGGTGGATTGTCCAAATCTCAGTCCAGCATTTTAACCAAGAAGTGACATGTCTTTGGTTTTCTTTAAGAGCCACAAAGGAACCACAACCAAAAATACCTTCTGAGACACGATTTAACAAGCTCTTCCTGCCCACCTCCGTCCCTTTTCATGCTTTCTAGTTAACACAGAATGAATGGTTCAGAGCTGCGCCAGGGGAGGTTTAGACTGGACATTAGGAAGCATTTCTTTACCAAGAGGGTGGTCAAACACTGGAACAGCCTTCCTAGAGAGATGCTCAATGCCCCAAGCCTGTCAGTGTTTAAGAGGCTTTTGGACAACGCCCTTGATAACACACTAACTTGGTCAGCCCTGAATTGGTCAGGCAGTTGGACTAGATGATCACTGTAGGTCCCTCCCAACTGAAATAGTCTATTTGAAATAGTTCAGTGATTTTCTTATATTCTGGTATGACTAACTACCCAGAAAAGCACCCTTACTACTCAGAAAATCATTCCAACTGGCAGAAATAAATCCAGCAGCGTAAAAAGAGATCACCTACCTTTGCATCCACTTCAGGATCATCAAAGAAACCTTCTGGCAAAGCTTCCGCAGTATTTTCTTTCCTGAAATGTTTGATTACTATTATCCCAAGTAAACACTTTACAACCTGCTTTATTGTAGAGCTAAAAATAGTCAAGAATAAAATCCATAATCTTTTATAAAAAGGACCTA